TCTCACCTGAGACATGGGAATTATCATCAAAATTACCAAAACATGGTTCTTGTGAAGGTTAAATCAAAATGTGCTTTACTATGTGATTGATACATTATATAATACTTATATAGTAAAGTATTATAGCTGTAAAATTAAGATAGCTTATAAGATTGTCATAAACGGGTAAATGAATGTAACTATATCCATTTTATTTCTATACTGCATATCTATTCTGAATACGCTATGTTATTCATTTGTCTATCCATTGCCTAAGTGTTCATGTGTAATGTATATTATGTTACAGTGGAAACAGTCACTATAAATACATAAAGTATATATATATATACATATACATATACATATAGATGTATACATATGAATAATATATATCACATATTTATACATAAATATCCCTTAGAAGGATTCCTGGGTAAAAATATTGAAAATTTATGCAACCATTATAATTACAGACCACCCAACCCAGAAAGGCTAATGCTGCAGCCAGCCTCTAACACACTCCTCTCTGAGCTTCCTTTTCAGTGTGTGTAGGAAGACCTCCAAAGCGGCTGAATCTGAAGACTGTTTTCTCCTGCACCTCCTAGAGCAGGAAAGGAAGGCAGTAAGAAAATCCACCTTTATCCACTGCTTAATGAGACATCACAAACACAGAGGAGATGGCTAGTCTATGTCTGACAGTCCTTTGCATGCCATCTTCCAGCCAAATGGCTTTCCTCTCCAGCAGACGCCTTCTCCCTGCTCTTTCATTTCTTGTCTCCCTTCTCCTGGCTCTCCACCCGTTTCCCTTTTTGTTTCTTTGCAGTGCCAACTTCATCTCACTGGCAAGTAAAATTCTCACACCCAAATAGCCACACCAAACAGTCTGGAGCCCTTGATTTCTGAAATGGTAGTTCCTGGGGCATGCGTACCACATTTTCTTATCCTTTTCCAGGATCACTCAACAAGGCTGGTAATGCTGCTGCTTAAGTAACCCTAATTTCTCAGCAGACTGGGCTGGCCTGCACCTGGACCTCCCACAGGACTTTGGATTTATTGTTTTCTGAGCCCAAAGTTTTAATCAAAATCCATCCTGAGCATCTGGGTACCTGCTGAGCCAAAGACCTTGTGAATATTCACACGAAGGAGAGCTAGGTCAGAGCTTCCTAAATTTTGTTAACTTACATCTCCTTTCATGCAAAAAATTTTATGTGACCCCACATATATAGGTATATGAAATAGATATACAAATTAAGCATTTACTGATGATAAATTACAGAGAAATTTATTTTTAAAGTCTTTGATATAAAGATAATCTTACCATTTAATAAAGACAAAAGCAATTTTTCATGTTAATGAGATAGATGTGTCTATTTTTATAAGCATTAAATCTTGGCTGAACATTGGATACTGCAGGTCATAGAATACCTTCCATATTTTCAGATCCCAGATACCTTGACCCTCCAGTTATCAATGCTGACATCACAGCTTCACATAAATACAAAATAAAAAGTGGTAGAAGTAAATGTAGGGATGTCTAGGAACTTGTTGGAAGCCCTGTCCTAATCCTAACTAAAATCCACTTAAGGAATTTCTCTGAAACTCAAGTCAACAACTCAAATGGCAGTTTTAAAAAACAAACATTCTAACACAATGCAGCCCAGAAAAACTGACTTGATGCTTGTGAGCTAAGAGTTGATGATCAGGAAGTATTAAGAGTCTGCATTTTCAAGAATTTAACTGTTGTGTGTCTGTAAGAGCAAAAAAAAATATGTTGTATAGTGAAGACACTGCAATTCTTTTTTAAATTTATCTTCATTGTGTGTGCATTGGTGTTTTGCCTACCTGTATGTCAGTGTGAAGGTGCCAGATTCCCTGGAACTGGAGTTACAGACAGTTGTGAGCTGCTGTGTAGGTGCTGAGAATTGAACACTGGTCCTCTGGAAGAACAGCCAGTGCTCTTAGCTGCTAAGCAATCTCCAGCCCTAACACCGCAGTTTATAACACACAATAATCTTGAATGGTGTCCAAGATTTTTAGGCAGTGCTGTGACTATGTAGATCAGTGGTTCTCAGCCTATGGGTCATGATCCCCACAGGGGTCACATATCAGATATCCTGCTTATCAGATATTTACTTTGCAATTCATGACAGTAGCAAAATTACTGGTATGAAGTAACAATAAAGTAATTTTATGGTTGGGGGTCACCACAACCATTTCAAAGAGTTGCAGCATTAGGAAGGTTGAGAACCACTGGTGTAGAGCAAAGTATACCCATGTGCTCAGACCAAGACTGGAGTAAAGTCATGTGACGCAACATGGATGATCACTGACAAGAACATGTCGAATTCATTGCTTGTTTGAATTTGAATTAATTTTTGGTCACTATAAGCTCAGAAATCTGACTGTTGGTGAGTTTTTCCAAACTCCAGTATGCAGTTATGTAGTCACACATAGGATGAGAATCCATAGGAAACTGTGGTCCTGGTGGATTCATCTGCACAGGATGAGCTGAAAACTGGCTTTTGGCTCAGCAGGACCAACCCTGGACAGCCGGGGTGGAGACACAGGGTTAGGATGCATCATTCTGTTGCTCCCATTCATCTCTTCTTTATCTTGTTTCTCATGCCTGCTCCTCTGGATAAGATCAAAGAGAGCCACCAGAGAGCCTCTGTCTTAAGAGCAAAGCAATAAAATCCCTACTGCCCCATGCTAGGCAAGAAGCCAATTCCAGGGAGGGAGCTCTTGGTTTGTAGCTCAGACCAACAAAACAGGAGAACTCTGGGTAACCTGTCTGAACAGAAGTCCTTGAAGATCCCCTCTCAGGTCTCATCTGGCTCGGGAGGCCTGCTGATGACTCAGGGTTTTAGCAGGAAGAAGTATCTCAGAGAGAAAAAAAAGCCTTACACCCAGCACTTTACAGCCAGGACTTGAACCTGATTTCCTGCTTGTACTAGTTGTTCAAACATGTAAAAGCCCCTTCATCTGCCTATATCTCAGATTCTTCTGTGTGAACTGGATGGAACAGGGCTTGATCAAATACTGTTTCCAACAGGGAATCTCGAACTCAATTCAACCCTCTGCTGGTAAGTGCATTTACAGCTCCGTAGATCAGGGTATGCAGTACGGACTGTAGGAATTCAGGATTCCTTTGGAATATAGCCCACCTAAGATAGCCTCCTGCTTGTCTGGAAAACAAAGGAACCATCTGAGTTTTGTCCATTGGGTGCTTTTGCCCCCCCCATCATTCCCCCCCCCCTATCCACAAGCAGGTCTTCTTCCTGCCTCTCTGTTCCACAGGCACAGTTCCCACAGCCCTGCTGGGATGCAGCCACACAGGGCGTCAGTTGAGAAATGAGCAGTTATTTGCGATGACAACTCAAACCACAACGCTGTCAAGAAGCCCTGGCTGGAGGGGCCCCTGGGAATAAGCAGAAGTCCCACAACCTCCCTCCAATTTGTGTCACATCAGGGGAGGGCGGAATGGCTCCCACATGAGTAAGATCCCTGCTATTCACATACCCACAGCCCCCATGGACCGAACTTGTTCCAGAGGCCAATCAGGAAATGTTTCAGGAATTCGATGAACAGAAACATGATGACACATTTATGAACACAGGTCCAAACTTTGCAGAGGAAAAATTCCCTGCTGAAACAGAGCACGTGCTATATTACATAGCAGTGTCCTAATGCCCACCTTGCTCTAGCTCCAATGGCTGAAGTCAAGATGTTCTTTAATGGTACTAAAGCTACTGTTTGTTTATTTAGCCGCAATTAGGAGTCAGGTCTTCCAGCAGAGCCTGAATGGCCAGCTTCTACTGGGATCCCAGCTCTTTCCTGATGTGATTCCTAATGCTGTGATCTCTTCACACTCCTACAGAGAGAGGTTCATTTATTTGCACCAAGTCACACACTTCCTGATGGAGCTGAGACTTGGCTCAACATGAGAAATCATGTTTTCAGCCACTGCTTGATTTTGCCTTCCAGTTGCCAGCACTATGCAGGCTGGTGTTTTTTAGGAGTGCTTCTATTTTGTAATCCAGCCTACCGTCTTCAAGGGAATAGGATTTACTTTCCTCCTTATCCCATAATTCTTTACTTCGGCCACAATCCTTCAGCCACTGTTGTTGATGGAAGAAGCCAGATTGTTTTACTAAGTTTATACACCCATAGCTCAGCCCAGTGTTTTACACATAATACCACATAATACGTGTGAATGAATGGATGCTTGCATGCATGCACGAATGAATGAATGAATGAATGAATGAAAGATCTTCCAACTTCTAGCTCAGTGTTCTTCCTACAACTCTCAATAGGCCAACTTCTTGCAGTTGCCTTTAAATGGACTTTTCCATGAATTAACCTAGATTTAACATTGACTGATGACATTTAGGATTAATGGAGATCACCTCCCCCTGGGACATCAAAAGACATGGACCAAATTTACAAATCAAACCAAGGAGACTTTGTTTTCTCTCAACATGCAGGGACTCCTTCCTGTGATACAATTGGTAGAAAGAGGGCAGACAAAGATGTTGATACTGTATGGTTATTTGAAAATATTGGCCAGAGTAATTTTAAGATAAATGTGAAACAGACATTCTTTAGCAGTTCACACATTTGAGAGTGGTTTTCTCAGAAGGCCTACACATACTCCGGTTACCATCTGTGTCTTTGTTGTCAGGGGTTCCAAGTATCACTGTTTAAGTTTCTTTCATCTATTGGATATATGGCTTTATAAAACTTTTTTTTCTGATCCTTGTGCTGGTAGAACTTAGCTGATTTTTTGTGCTTTATAATTAGCATTTTCTAGGATATTGTAAAGTATCAGATGCTTCCATTTTGTAATATTTCCAAGTAAGTATGTCATCATTTATTTAGTTCTTCCCCTATTGTGCAATTTGTGTTGCAGCCAATATTACAGTCTTACAAAACGGCATTGTGATAAATCACTCCAAGGAAGGGGCTCTCTCTGAGCTCTCTTCTTGGACTGTGGCCTTAGGGTCAGTCCCCAGCAGCCTGCCATCTATTCTTAATAACTGGATTTGTGAACAAGAGCTGAGCCCACTAGGGGATACAGAGCAAGAGAAGAAGGTTAACTCACTAGTCACTGCAGACCCTGACAGTGTCGCCTGCCTGAACTGTGTGCCCCATTCTAATGAAAATTTGCTAAATTCTGTTCTCTGTAGTGTGTGTTTATTCAAAAACAATACATTTATTGGAACAATTAAGTCAAGGTAAGTATATAGAGAGGAAATTTAAAAACTGGCTTCTGCCACAGTCTTTCCCATTTGATTGTGATGACATGTTTTAATAAGCTGTGTGTGTATCTTTCCCTGAATTTCTCGGTACTTACATTAATAAATGGATGCTATAATACAATTGTTTTGTACAAGTAGATTCATACATAAAACACATAAGATAACATTTTTTCTCATGTATTCAACATCCTCTTGTATTCCATGGAAGAATCAGGGACATAGCTTAGTGTAGTGTACTTGACTGGCGCACACAGGGATGGTTTCTGGTGCAAAAAGAAAACAAGAATAACAAAAACCCACAGCAATCTTTTTAGGTCAGCAAGCGGTTAGCTCCTTCTTTTTGAGAACTGATAGTGTTCCATCGTAGGGTTCGGCCATAGTTAACTCAGACTTTTCTTTTTCTTCAATTAATGAAGTTCACATTGGTTCTATGTAAGTGGTTTGTTTTTACCAAAGATATGTGAACATTGAGATAGATTGTCTTACTGCTACTAGAAAATGTTTCCTTTCTCCCCAACTTCCCTTATGAGTTCCCAATTACTTTGATAGTGTTATTGTTTTGAATCTGAAATGTCACCCAGAGGTTCATGCTTTAAACGCTTGTTCCCAGCTGGAGACACTGTATTCCAAGGCTCTGGAACTCCTAGGGGGTAGGACCTGGCTGGAGGAAGTACAACACTAGAGGTGAGCTTTTGAGGATTATACACCTACTCTCTCTCTCTCTCTCTCTCTCTCTCTCTCTCTGTGTGTGTGTGTGTGTCTCTCTCTCCCTCCCTCCCTCCCTCCCTCCCTCCCTCCCTCCCTCTCTCTCTCTCTCTCTCTCTCTCTCTCTCTCTCTCTCTCTCTCTCTCTCTCTCTCTCTCTCTCTCTCTGTGTGTGTGTGTGTGTGTCTCTCTCCCTTCCTCTCTCTCTCTCTCTTTCTCTTTCTGTCTCTCTCTCCCTCCCTCCCTCCCTCCCTCCCTCCCTCCCTCCTCTCCCTCCCTCCCTTTCTTTCTCTCTCTCTCTCCCCCTAGCTGTGGTGTAAAGGTACTGCAGGCTTTCATCCTCTCCACTGTGATGGACTGAAACACTCTGAAACTGTGAACCAGAATAAGGCAGAAAAGTCATGTTTGGTTGCAACAAACACATATTGAATCTCCACTGTAAGCCTATAGCACTTAGATTTATAGCACACATAAGGAGAGAGAGAAACTAGTCTCGTTAAAAAGGCTATAACGGTCAACTGTTTAATCACACTTAATGAAAGCCTGATCATTTATAACCAGGTGTACTGTTCTGCGAGGTCCTCAGAGAAACCTGCAGTTTATGAATGGAAACTCACCTTCATTAGTGGCACAGCAGTGACAGGTGTCTATACACTGAGGAGGATATACTATCATGTATGAGAACTGAGCATGGAAGTGACAGGTTTGAGCACACCCCAAGAATGTTTACAGCAATGTTTAGAATTAAACAGACATCTTATAAAGCAGGTGTGATCCTTGCTGTGTATCAGGTATTAGTAGCTCACTTGACGGTATTTGTTGTTAGGCTACAAGAACAAATTTCCCCATCATGGAGCCACTAGGGCTGAATTCATAAGCACCAACTTTAGGCAAGGCAACAAGAGGATACTGTGGGTTCAGCAGAGATCAAGGCAAAATTCCCCAAAAGAAGTGTTTAACCCAAAGGAAAACAGACAGTGAGCAAGGCATCCTAGTGAGTGAGCAAGCTCAAAGGTTATCAGGGACAATATGGCAGAGAGAGGGAGAAGGTGCCAACCACAGAGCATCAGGAAGAGGCATGCCAGTGCTGCAATGGTGTTTGAGTTGACTCCTTGAAGAGTAGCAAGTCACCCACCCGGGAGAAGAGCCTTCAGGGCAGATAGAAAGTTTGGTGGGACACAAAATAACAGAAAGGGGGCTGAAATTCGGGAAAGGAGGGGAGTAAGGAGGAGGAGAAAGGTGAGGCCAAGGAGGGAGTTTGGATTGTATCTTAACTACAGTGAGACTTAATGGGTTCTATGCAGGAAGTGATGTGGTCCAAGCTAAAGTCTTGAAAACTTCCTCTCTGGCTTCTATGTAATATGTGCACCCTGAGGGAAGTGGGAAAGCATGACTGTGGGGTATGGAAAGAGAAAAAGCCATGGACCAGACAGGAGAGGGTGGAGACCTGGACACTGGGAATCTCAGAAGATAGTGATTTCCAGATTTCCACTCAGGAGCAAGGAGGTCAGTAGCTCTGAGTCTCAGAGTCTGAGCTTCTCCCTGTCAAACAGAGCTGGTAATCCTTCTTCGCTTTCCAAGGCTGCTGAAAGTGGGGGCCATGAGAGCTGTAAACTGATACCTAGTCTAGTACCCAGCCCCAGAGCTGGTCAACCAATGCCAACCAATGCCAGCCTCCAGCTGCCCTACTTCTGTGCAGAATGGATGCCACAGTGATGGAGGGAGTGATACCATGCTGAATGCTGTAACACATTAAAATGAGATGAAACATGAGAATTCTTAGATTCCTCTCAACCTGTTAGAGACTGCTCAGTGAAGCAAACACAAATGACAGCTTTAATTCCCATCTATCCAGTCACAACATCTCAAGTAGCTGTGCCCAAACTCTCAAGCCCAGGAATCCTATTGCCAGATGAAGACAGATAGCTGCAAAATGGGCCTTTTTTGTTAAATTTCCAAATGGTCTGTGAGTAGGAGAGGCCCTTTATGTCTCTGGTAAACTTGAGCTCTACTGCAGGTGTCTGAGTTTATCACTGAGAGGAAATGACTTTTTTTACACCTAATTTAATCTGAAGCTATTCACAGTTTAAAATGTTTAGTGACATGACCTTTTTAATGACTAACACATTGCAGGTGGTCCTGTTGTAGCCAGCAGTTAATGTTTGGCATCAGAGAGAAAGACAAAGAACATTCAAGGACCACTCCAAGGCAATTGCCTCCTTTTGCCTGGTTCAAAGGACAGCTGGCTCTAAATAGAGCCTAGAGAGGCACCTAGGATGAAAGGATGAAGTCATTTCTTGGTAGGAAAACTCTTGTTCTTCTGGGTGTTTCTCAGAGTCATAGCATAGACAACACATCCTAGAATTATGAAGCAGACCTTGTAAGCTGTGTGCCTGGACTTCAGATGAGTCTTCCTCTCTGGATGACAGATGGGTTTACAGCTTCCAGTAGCCAAGAGAGGAATTGCTTGAGTGGTTCCAGAATATCTAGGCAAAATCCAACATCCTAGATGAGTTGAAAGAGCCCAGAGAGGGACTGGTTCATGGTTAAGAGCACTGGATACTCTTTCAGAAGACCTGAATTTGGTTCCCAACACATGGCAGTTCACAACTTTAACTCTAGAACTAGGGGCTTAGAATCCCTCCTCTGGCTTCTGAAAGCAAGAGACACACATGTGATGCACGGACACACATGCTAGCAAAATACCGATACACATAAAACAAAGTGAACTTAAGTGGAATTAAGAGTCCGGAGAGACAGGGAGGAACTCCCCTTGTAGATAGCAGACCCCTCACACACCCAGAGCACTTGACAATGGCTGCCTTGCACATTGATGCACCCATGCAGCGCAAGGGTGTTTTTTTTTTTTTTTGCTTCTTTCTCAAGCTAGATGACATATAAGGATACATTCCTTTTAGGGCTTTCTCACAACCTCATGCTCTGAAGGTCACCTTTAGAAAGATGGCATGGTCCACACGTCAATAATGAAAACAACTCACATGTACACCTGTCTTTCAGATTAGCCTGACACAGTACAGGATGCCAGCAAATACCATTTAGGTCAACAGCCAGGGAAGCAGACACGTAACTCAGCACCCATACTCTCCCAGCAATGACAAGTGAGCAGAAGCAAGTCAGAGCTCAAAGCAGCCCATCACACCAGTTAGGCTTCGTTTCCATCTCTGTGAACGCATACATCCACAGGCTGCACTCCTCAGCCACCACACATAGTGAGAAAAAGCAGTGCCAAGGTCCAGAAAAGAGAACAACAGGCTAGACAAGGTCATCACTAATGACCATGAAACCTAAGAGTCAGGAAGATCACAGTGAGGTCCGAGCTATTTTGAGCTTCATAGCAAATTTAAGTCAGTCTCAGATACCAGGTGAGACCCTATTTCAAAAATGACAAGAAAGCTCCCTCTTTCCTTGGGGACAACTGCTCTTCTCAGGCATGTCACTGCCCTCGGTAAGCAGGACTTCCTGGTTCCTGGATGGCATCACAATACCTACTTTGTTCAGATGTCCAGTGTCACTGGTTTCAGAGTGAGGACCTTTCTATCATTTGGGTCATGGGTTACACTTCTTTCTTTCTCATAGGCCTTAGCATCGTCCTGTTTGCCTGGGTCCCTAAGTTTTCCATTCTACACCAGAAGGAAAATGAGGGGAATACAAAGAAATAGAAGATGAGGTAGAGGATGTCCTCAAGGATTTTTATGGAATGCAAGCAACCTTCACAGTCTTCAATTCTTCTATGAAGAACAAAGAGGGTCAGTGTGAAAGTTGAAGCTGGACCCTGAGTTTACTCTACTTCTGAAGTCTTCTTGGAATTCACATATTCTCTTATGTTTTAGGGTATGTAACTGGAAAGTCGTCAGGCTCTGAAACTTGATTGTGCCAATCTTTATACAGCTTAGTAAAGCCATTAAAAATCACCGGGTCGTAGTCTCAAAAGGAGTGGGAGAAGCCAACTCCAAAACATGCTTCACCCTCCTGGCAGTTATCACTAGTAACCTTTGCCTTTACGTTCGTTATGCTCCAGCAAGAACTGATAAAAGGAAAAGGTTACTTGACCTTTTTCCTTAGCTGCTCTTAATATTCTTTCTTATTCTGTATGTTTGGGGTCTTGATTATTATGTGGCGAGGGGATTTTTTTTTTGTGGTCCACTCTATTTGGTGTTCTGTAGGCTTCTTTTACCTTCATTGGCATGTCTTTCTTAAGGTTGGGAAAGTTTTCTTCTATGATTTTGTTGAATATGCCTTCTGCCCCTTTGAGGTGGATTTCTTCTCCTTCTTCTATACCTATTATTCTTAGGTTTGGTCTTTTCATGGTGTCCCATAATTCCTGGATGTTTTGTGTTAAGGATTTGTTGGATTTAAGGTTTTCTTTGGTTGATAAATCCATTTCTCCTAATGTATCTTCAACACTTGAGATTCTCTCTTCCATCTCTTCTATTCTGTTGGTAATGCTTGTATTGGTAGTGCCTGACTGTTTGTCCAGCTTTTCTATTTTCTGCCTTTCTTCAGATTGTGTTTTTTTTTTTAGTGTCTCTATTTCAGTTTTCAACCCTTGCAGAAAAATGCGGATCGATCCATGTTTATCGCCATGCACAAAACTTAAGTCCAAATGGATCAAAGACCTCAACATAAATCCAGCCACACTGAACCTCTTAGAAGAGAAAGTGGGTGGTACCCTTGAACGAATTGGTACAGGAGACAGCTTCCTGAACATAACACCAGTAGCACAGACAGTGAGATCAACAATTAATAAATGGGACCTACTGAAACTGAGAAGCTTCTGTAAGGCAAAGGACACAGTCAGCAAGACAAAAAGGCAGCCCACAGAATGGGAAAAAATATTCACTAATCCCACATCTGACAGAGGGTTGATCTCCAAAATTTACAAAGAACTCAAGAAGCAAGTCTCCAAAACAGCAAAGGACCCAATTAAGAAGTGGGCTGCAGAACTAAATAGAGAGTTTTCAATAGAGGAGTCTAAAATGGCTGAGAGGCACTTGAGAAAGTGCTCAACATCCTTAGCCATCCGGGAAATGCAAATCAAAGCAACTCTGAGATACCATCTCACTCCTGTCAGAATGGCTAAAATCAAAAACACCAATGACAATTTATGCTGGAGAGGATGTGGTGAAAGGGGGACACTCCTCCATTGCTGGTGGGAGTGCCAACTGGTTCAGCCACTTTGGAAAGCAGTATGGAGATTCCTCAGAAAAATGGGAATAAACCTACCACAAGACCCAGCAACTCCACTCTTAGGCATATATCCAAAAGATGCCCATTCATATAACAAAGATGTCTGTTCCACTATGTTCATAGCAGCTTTATTTGTAATAGCCAGAACTTGGAAGCAACCTAGATGTCCCTCACCCGAAGAATGGATAGAGAAAATGTGGTACATCTACACAATGGAGCACTATTCAGCAGAAAAAAATAATGGAATCATGAGATTCGCAGGCAAATGGATGACACTAGAAGAAACCATCCTGAGTGAGGTAACCCAGTCACAAAAAGAGAAACATGGCATGTACTCTCTCATATATGGATTTTAGACATAGATCTGGGGAGTGCCAGCCTACAATCCTATTGCCAGAGAGTCTGGGAAACAGAAACTTCATTTACTGGCTGGTTAAGTACTGAGCTGAACTCAAGAAAGCCAGTATCAGAGAGGGAGGACTGATGATCAAAGGGATTAAGACTGGGCTGGTTGAACCCCCAGAAACAGCTGATCAGACAAAGGTTAACTCTTGAATCCCAGGCATCAGCCTGGGAATCCAGCATGGGACTGATCAAGACCCCCTGAATCTGGGTGTCAGTGAGGAGGCCTAGGTAATCTATTGAGCCTTGGACAGCAAATCAGTACCCATCCCAAGTATACACACGGTCTCTGGACTCCCATAGAACAATGTGAGGTGCACTCTCACCCTGAACTCTTGGGGAAGGGTCTAGGCCCTGCCCTATATGAAATGACAGACTATGGACACCCCCATGGAGGGCCTCACCCTCCCTGGGGGAATGAGGGGATAACGGGGGGGGGGATGGGGGGAGGGCACGGGAGGAGGGGAGGGAAAGGGAGAGGGACCTCGTACTGACTTGTGAAGCAACCTTGTTTCTTATCTAAATTTAAAATGGAAAATAAAAAAAATATTAATAAAAAAAATAAAAATAAATGCCAATATAACTACTAACAAATATAAAAAAAAAAAGGAAAAGGTTAGCCAAACAGTCCACAGAGTCCCAGCATACAGGAGGCAGAAGCAGGCAGAACTCTGTGAGTTTGAGGACATCCTGGTCTGCACAGCAAGTCCCAGCCCAGCCAGGGCTACCTGAGGAGTAACTAAATAACCATCAACAAACTCAAATTTGTGTTTCATATCTGACTAAACTCTCACCTTGCTGACATCATAGCAGGAAAAGAAAGGATAGCTTACAAGATGTCTAAATTTTTCTGTGGACAGTGGTGATTCCAGAATCGTTGAGCCATTAGGATAATCCAGCTATGCAACATATCCCATTAAGAGTTAAAGAAATGCAAAATAGATCATGTTTCAAACACAATGCATGAATTTCTCCCTCTGAGACATGGGAAAGCCCTGCAGAGGGCCATCTTTAGGTTCTGTTTAAAGCAGTGCCTACCTTACTGTCATTTATTCACATTTAAAATGTTATATGAAAGAAAATATAGGAATGTTTGATTTCTCCTTCCTTCTAACACATTCTCACCCTGAAACTTTCCTTTCTTTCTTCTATTTTTTTTTCAAAACTGAAGAACAGTTAAAGTTACTACCTATATTAGTGAGCACTAAATGTCTTGAAATTACGGCTTTTGAAGTTTCTTCGTTCCTGAAACAAAAAAGAAAGCCAGGGGTTGACATCAAAGAAGAGGCAATTCTCCTCAGTAGCAATTACGGTCTCAATGCTCCTCCATGCCCACCCCATCCCAAGATGCTTTGCCTTGTAACATGTACTTATTTTGATCAACACCCTTAGAAAGAGTAACTAAAAGTATCCAACTACCTATAAAATTCTCACTGAATTCTTCCTGCCGGTGCTTGTTGTGAATCAAAATACTCCGCTAATAATGCATTCAGCCGTATATGATGGGGCTTTTTTTTTCTTTTTAAGAAAACATTTAATTACTATTGGAGAGTTGAAACTGGTCTCTGTGACTTACCAGATGTTAAACCAGACACCAGGGTGAGATTTTACAATTTCGGCACAGCTGCTTACGACCAAATCTGGTTTAGGACACCTCCGGTGGATTTAAAAACATTACATTTATATTAAAAATAGCAGGGTCTCATATGCAGCCCAGCTGAAGGTCTTTTTGGCAAACTTGTTAAAATCAGAACGAATCCCCTCAGTCAAAAGTTCCCCAACAGTCTGTGCGCCTTGGCCAGTGTGACATGTGCTGTCACTCTGCCTGTCCCAACCCCCAGTCAAGCATTCTTACAGAGGCGCATGTGTCTGGGCTTTTTGTCCGGATTCTAAATTAAACCTCCAGTTCTTTTCATTCAGATATTATGAGCTCCGAAAACCAGAGTGTAAGACTGGAAAAAAAGAAAAGAAAAAGAAAGAAAAAAACGAAAAAAAAAGTCTCAATAGGGCTTGCAGGCCAGAAAGGCTCATTGAAGCCTGGATGGCTTGAGACAAAGGTGTTGTGGGTCCCTCCACCCACCCCCAACCCCACACCCATTCGAGTTCTTACAGTGTAGGAAGAAAATCGTTCACCAAAGCTTACTTTTCCTTCCTTCCCCCACCCTACTCTCAGGAGTTCTTGAATCTGCAGCCTTTTATTCGGCCCAAATTGTCGCCACGCTTAGTGGAGCGTGCTGGACCCGCGGGATAGCTGGAATAACTGAGAGACAGGGAGGGAGCCAGGCCCTTGCGCCCTGCACCAAGCCTCACTCCCTGCTGCTGGCTTTCAAAAAAACGCGTTTTGAGAGTTTCCAAAAGTGTACCCAGCGAAAGGCGCTTCCTCTGCCCCCGACTCCCGGAAGTGAGGAAGGGAGAATCCTCTTTATTCTTTTGCCGCCCAGCAGAAGCTGTGCTGGGACTGGAAAGGGGTCTCTCTCACAAGAGATGGAGCATCCTTTAAAAGGCTGCATGGTGAGACTTTCTCTGCCTCGCCTCCGGCAGACCCGTCCTTGGTTTCACATCAGGTTTCTTTGCAGCCTTCTAACTGACATGCAGGGCAGCAAATCCCTGGGTTGCTGTGTGTATAGACACGTGCGCACACATACAAGCCCTGTGCTTGGCTGTGACTCAGTAGTGGATCCTGGAGACCTTACCAGACAGAGCAAACATCACCTTCAACCTCCTTATATTCACGAAGTATGTCATTAAACAAGCATGTCGACCATGTTCAACTTTCTTGCTAACATGTAAAGGTTAAGATGAAACAGACTCGCTCTGGTATCTTGGCAAATTATCTCAGAAGACTAAATTCCCAGGAGCGGTTTCTCTTCTAAACAATTTTTTCTGTGTTTAAAGTCCATACCACTTCTAATGGGTCCTTGTTTCCCTGCCCTTCGGTCACCTCCGTACTGTGAACCAGAGATCCCCTGACTCGGTGATACTCGGCATTGCCGCATAGGCTGGAAAAGGTCTCAGTGTAGTCTGCATTTGCTCAGGCAAAGTCCACATGAAATAGGGAAGAATAACATGGAACCTTCATCAGGGAGTTGGGTTGATGGATTTAAAGGGCCGGCTTCCCAGCGGCCTTCACCCCACTCCAAAATTACTGTCCCGAGGAAGTTCCGCAGAGCTGAGGCTAAAGGGAACACGGCGGCGAGAAAAGGCGATACCAGAGTGAAGAGAGTGTGAACCACAAGATGAGCAGGACTTAGCTGCCACCACAGCCAGCTAAGTCAGCACAGGCCACAAGCGCTTGCTGGGTCACACCTTCCCCTCCCAGTCAAGGGCCTTGGCCTCATCGGCAGTTCTCAGAGCCTGTGCCCAGGTGTACTACTCTGAAGATTTCTCCAAGGACAGGATTTTAAAATCAAATAGATTTGGGGAAAGGGGGGTATCACTGCACTTCACAGCTTTATAGGGTTTGGGGTGTTTTTAAAGGTTAGTGTGCTTCAGACATGCTTTCTTTCTTTCTTTTTTTTTTTTTTTTTTTTTTGACAGGGGACTGGGATGGGTGCCTCTGTGCTCCGTTGCTGTGTTGTCAAATCTGCTCTTGAACTCAGGGGTTCAAGCAACCCTCCTTCCTCAGCTTCCCATACACCTGGGACTACACACACCACCACAACCAGCTTAGTGCTCTGCAGACCCCACTGGGGAATGCTGAGGACCCACCATGGTATTTTCCAATTTGAAAGTTGTCCAGTCAGCTGATTTTAAAGAGACATCCCCTGCCTCCCTGACTCTACAGCACTCCCTGTTCTCCCTCCTCTCCCCCTGTATCCCAGATGGTGCAAGCCTTGCCCTTAGTGGGCTTAGCAGACAGGTAGGAGCTCAACCAATGCCCAGGGCTGAAATGGCAGGATCTGTTCTTCAAACGCTTGCAGCTTTTAGATTGGACCAAATGGCAGTTAGGTTTTGTCTGTGCTGGATACAAGATTGAATGAGGAGACATGAAGAAGAAAAGGGAGGAGTACGAAGGGAGGGATGGGGGGGGGGGACAGTAGAGGAAAAAGAAAATAAAAGAAAAAATAATTTTATTTTACTTGGAAGATGTCCCCAAGTAAATTTGGCAAACACGTGTAATATACACAAAATCCAAAGGGTCTAGAAGCCTGTTTGGGAGGAGATGCCCAGCCTCTGCTTTTTCACAGCCTGTGGTGGGTGCTTATGGATATTTATTAAATGAATAGTCAGGGTCCAACATGATGTTGACTGGTATGCGCTGGGCTGTGTGTACGGGCTGAACAGTCTCCTTCAATGTGTGTAACAACCTTGTAAGGCGGACAGCGCACCCTCTGATGTGGAAACGGAAGCTCTATGTTTAGTCACCTTCCCTATGCTAACTCTCCTGACCTCCGGTCTCTCTGTGCACGGTACCTCCTCTGGCACGCCTGGGGGTGGGGGGGTGGGGGGCACATTCTGCTTTCTCCAGCTCCTAGGCACACTTGTGTTTGTGGAATAGAAAACACTGAGAGCATCTCCCATAACATAGCACTCCTTCTGTCCCAATGTCTGCAGCATGAATGGCTAGTGTAAGGGCAAGGATCACAAGAATCACTCCATGCTGGTGGGCTTGCATACCCCCCCAGCTTCTGTGAGGCCCTCTCTGGGATTCAGGGCAAGAAGGCCAGTGAAGGGATGTGTTCAGGAAGCCACCAGCTTCTTTGTACACACCCATCTGAGGAGGTTGTATAAACATTGACGAGTTAGGGATGGCTCCACCATGGTTTGGGGGATCAGGGTCCGCACTACCCATCTGCTGAAGTCTTTTTCCATCCTCACTGTCAAGTGCCCTGCTTCTTGATCTCCTTCTCCTGGGTCCTTTGGCCTTAAAGGCTACAACTCACAGAGGAGAAAACTCCCAGGGTAAAGATTGTTATGCACAAAACCTTCAAAATACCAATATTTTTTAAATAAAAGATCTCAGTTAGCCTTTGTGATATCATGACACTTGTGGTCCTCCCACTGTACCTTAGAACAAAAGCACATGAGAACAGCTGCACCCTCCTGTCCTTCCATGTCCTCCCAGACCTCCCAGTGTCCCTTGGTCACTAACCTATAGACAGTAATCTATTAGATTCTAGTATCCAGTGGGGACATCTGGGCGGGCACATCTGGGTTTAGACAAAGGAGACAAAGGAGACTTGAGAAACCATGTGCTCGGTAGAAAATGGAGTCCCAGGGGTGGAGGCCTCCCAGGAGAGGCTGAGACTGAAGGGTGCTTCATTTGGAGGAGACAGAGGGGAGACACAGACTCCTGCAAGATATGACAATAGGACAAAGAGCAGAGAGGCATGGGGGCGATGTGCTGCCCATGTATCCGGCATTAGCATGTCCCTTCTTTTCTAGACCATTTTGTGATTGTTGGTATCTTTAAAAACAACATCTGCTTTTTAAAATGTCGTTGTGGACAGCCACAAGACAGCTCTATTTGTCTCAGATGCAGCATGACGGGTCATCCGATTTGTCCTGGAAGAGTCCCCACCTCCAATTTAACCTGTACTATCCCAGTGTTGTCTCCACTTCCATGCTACCCTAGATATTGTACGATGACCTCTGAATGAGGCAGAGATGGTATGCTGAGGGTAAGCATTGGGATACGGTGTGCAGATGTTCCTACCTCTCAATAAACCCATCATAAATGTGTAGACATGGTTTCTGTTCTACCTGGTCCCTCAACTGATTCGGCCCAAATTGGTTTCTGTCCAGCCTGGTCCCATAGCCACTTTGCCCCAAATAAGCTCACAAAGACTTATAGTATAAAATGTTTGGCCGATGGTTCAGTCTTCTTATTGGCATGCTCTGTCTTAATTATTAAGCCATTTCTATCAATCTATGTATTGCCACGAGTTTGTGATTTAGCTGTAATCTGACATGTTACTCCTTGGGCAGCATGGCATCACTTGGTGGCTCCTCTCTGCCTTCCTCTCCCCAGTCTTCTCCTGGTCTGGTAGCCCCACCTATGCTTCCTGCCTGGCTACTGGCCAATCAGTGTTTTAGTCATCAACCAATAAGAGAAACATACATACAGAAGGACGTCTCCCATCATAAGTGGGAAACCATGCAAGTCGTGAGAGCATTGGCAGCACCTAGCTCACTATACATCAGGGTTTAACACTACAGCACACTGTACAACTTCCTATAGGAAACTACTGACTGAGTGGGATCACTCGACTGAGCGGGAGCTGAGCTCACTGCCTTTCTCAAGC